GACCCGAAATGTCAGCTTTCCTGCGCCTCTGATGCTGCTTGGCCTGCTGTGCTCATCCAGCTCTACACCTTGTTATCTCAGATTCTCCAGCATCGGTAGCTCCTACTATCTCTGTAACAATCTTTTTAAATATACTAATGGTTCAGATTTTGATTTGTTTGTATTTGTTTCATGATAACTTTTCACCAACCTTGCTTTTTCTGTTACAGCATAGGAAACCCAAAACTTTCCAAAAGCAATTGAAACAACAGACTGTACTAAAAGTCAAGCATTATTCTAGCCATTGAAGGGTGTTGCAGAAAAGACACTCCTAAGATCAGAGGGATCAATGCTAGCACTTTGTTTTCACAACTATGTTCAACCTACTTTCATAAAGGGATTAATGGTAAGACATCCAGCAAAAATAGGTTTAAGTGCTGGAAACCATATTAAAAATGGCCAATATTTGATCTGAATAAGACAGTTACTAAGTAAATTAATACTTTACTGGGATTCCAGTCTTTCCTACCTACTGACATGCTGGGTGTTATACACATGTTGTGACTTGTGACAAAAGGACAGAAAGAGCATCGATTGTGTCTATTTTAAATATAACTTTACCACCTGAAGCTATAAAACTGCTCTACAAGTTAAATGGCTTCATATGTACGGAGTACAAGTAAGAACCACAGCCTCACAACTTGTATAACAATTTAATATTCAACTTCAGAATAGTAAGATTTCAACCCTTACATAGTTGCACCCAGATGTAATCATTGGCAATGGACCATGCTGGCCTCAATTTCCTTCTTTTCCAAAATGAACTGATTGAAATCAAAAACTGTTCAACTGCAAATCCTTGGTGTTAACACTCATCACTCAGAAATCTGTAAAGCCAGGATTCAAGTAATGGCCACTTTACAGGAGATATTTTCTAAGTTATAGGTGTTATTACACATACTGGAGTAGGTGGGACGTGAACCCAAGCCATCTGGCTCAGAAGTAGGGACACTACCACTGTGTCACAAGAGCTACACTATTATACCGGAAAATGACACAATCTAAGGCAGCACAGCGGTTAGCACCACTGCCTCACAGCACTAGGAACCTGGGTTCAATTCCAGCTTTGGGCAACGGTCCTTGTGGAGTTTGTGCATTCTCCCCATGTCCGTGTGGGTTTCCTCCCACAGTCCAAAGGTGTGCAGGTTAGGGTGAATTGGCCATGTGAAATTGCCCATAGTGTCCAGGGATGTGCAAGCTAGGTAGATTAACTACTGGAAATGCAGGGTTACAGGAATAGGGGAGTGGGTCTCTTTGAAGGATACTCTTTGGAGGGCTGGTGTGGACTTGATGGGCTGAATCGCCTGCTTCCATACAGTAGGGATTCTATGATTCTATCTCAGCCATGACCCAGATGCGAATTATTTAGTCCCATGATATGTTTACTTGTTTACACTCCAAAATGTCACTTTAGTCAACTGCTTGTATGTCAGTTTGCAATGAAACCAATTATAAAGTTCTAAAACACGATGGGTACCATTAACTGATGCAGGGAATTCTCTTCCTATGGGCCACAGCAGTTATTTTGCATAGTTAGCAACTCACCAAAGCTCCTTTGACAGCGCCTTCCAAACCCATAACCTCTACCATCCAGAAAGACAAGGGCAGCCGATTTACAGGAACACCACAACCATCCCGACTCAAAAATACATCACCAGGTCAAAATCCTGGAACTCTCCCCAACATCATCCCAAGGACTGAGACAATTCAGGCTCATCATCACCTTGTCTTGGGGCAGTTAGGGATAGGCAGTAAATGCCATCTTAAACAACAACACTCACATCCCAGGACTGAATTAAAGAAAAGGTTGTGAAGCAGTTTTGGGAATAAAGTTTTAAAAAAAATTACAGTCACTATAGTTTCAGAGGACCATAGTGCTACTCTTTCATTAGAGTGAGATGACTTGTGGTGTGTTTAACTTGAAGGTCACCACACCTCCTAATTCATTTGACCTAACTCCTATCAAATGTTGCATTATGACACTGAATTACCATGAGTTGCAGTGTGTTAAAGTTACAACATGAATGCAAATCTTTGTTATGGTGGTGGTTTGGGCATAACCCAACACCACCACCGTAATTTGCAATGATAGAGGTGTATAAGGTTATGAGGGGCATGGCAGGGTGAATAGGAAGCAGCTGTTCCCCTTAGTTGAAGGATGAATAATAAGGAGCCATTATTTAAAAGGGATAGGCAGGAGTTTTATAGAGGATTTGAGACAAAACATTTCATCCAGAGGGTAATGGGGGTCTGGAATGCACTGCCTGAGAGGGTAGTTGAGTCAGGAAACCTCACCATCTTTAAAAAGCAGTGGGATGAATACTTGAAGCATCATAACATTCAAGGCTATCGACCTAGCGCAGGAAAGTAGGACTGATGTAGGCAGTACAGACTTCTGCATGAATCAATAATGCTGTAACTTTAATTTAATAAAACAACATGAGGTAATTCAACGTTTTAAAAAAACAATTGACAATGTTTCAAATAAAATGACATCAGGTCAGGTAACCAAAATCAATGAAGTAGATTTAATTCAGTATCTTAAAAAGGAAAGAGGTGCAGGGAGCAAATTTCAAGGATTGGGCCTGGTCAATTAAGATACAGCCGCTAATGGTGGCGTAAATAAACTGGGGATGCTCAAGATCCAGAATTAGATGAATGCAGATTTTATGTTGGAGATTAGAGATAAGGAAGCACAAAGGCTATAGGGGGATTTGAAACAAGAATGAGAATTTTGAAAACAAGGTGTTGCTTAACTAGGAACCACTATAGGCCAAGAAGCACAGAGGCATGAGCAAAGACATGCGCCCGTAGAATTTTGGATGACCTCACTTCATGGAGGTTGTAATGTGAGCGTGGCAGTGGTGAGCTGTTGAAACTCAACACTGTGAGCACACATCCAGGCACAGTCAAAATCAGAAATAACAAAATGGAAGATGATTTCAGCAGAGGCAATGTTACAGAGATGGAAATAGGCCACTTGAGTGATGCAGAAATAAAATAGCTTATCTCAGGGTTAAGAAGGTGGGGACAGATGCCAGGGAGAAGAATTGAGTTGGTGGCAAATGTAATAGAATTTGCAGCAGGTCTGAAAACAATGGATTTGTTCTTCCCAACACTTTTTTGGAGGAAATTCTATTCATCTAGTAATGAATGCATGACAAGCAAACTGATAATTTAGATACAATGGTAGCTCAATAGAATCGAAAAACTGTCTTTAATATTCAGATGATGCCACTTAGAAAACATATCTGATAAACAGGAAGTAGCCTGAAGACGGATCCTGAGGTGACACCAGAGGTTAATGGTGCAGGACCAGGAAGGGAAACCATTGCAAGGGATTCCCGGTCTACAATTAGCTGACTGAGAACAGAGCCAAGGGAGTAAGGTCCCACACGGGTTGTTGGAGTGGAAAGGCACTGGAAAAGGATAATGTAGACATCCGTATCAAAGGTTGACAAGTCAAGGATGAGGAGCATAGTTTATCTTTATCCCAGTCATTTAAGATGATGTTATTTGTGACGTTGAGAGCATGGATTCAGTACTGTGGTGAGGAGGAAACCTGGTTGAGGACTACTATACAATTGAGAGGAAATAACTCTCTCCATAAAATTTCTACATCGAATGTATTAGCATGTGGCAGTATTTTTATTGTTTACTCAGCTCACCCAAGGAGGCTACTTTTTAAAATGTGCCTAGAGACACTTTGCTTTTAGGCCTGTAAAGATTAAAGAACGTGAATCCAAATTTGATTTGGAAGACAGCAACTGTGTTAAGAAATCTCAGTCCATGATTTTATTTTTAAAACAGACCTACAACATGACTCTCAGGCAGGTCGAGTATGTTTCTCTGTCTCTGCTCTTATCAGAGTAGTCTTAATTTAATTTAAAGAGCAGTCAACAGTGGCAGTTTAAGATGAAATCTCTAGAGCACATGTACAATATGAGCATTTTTCAGAAACCAGGTACTCACCCTGACTTGTGGTAGAGGGGATTGAATTTGTGGAGAGAATGGGTGCCACAGTAGCAGCAGCAACTGGTGTCCCGGTACTGAACATTGTTTTCTGTTGAAAGAGAACTGGCTTGTTGGTACTGGAGGCTGACAACGTTACAAGCTCTGGTTTCAACTATATTTCCAATAGCTGACTGACAAAAGGAACAAAGCTATTTTGATACAAGCACAAAATATAACATGCTTTGAAACACGAATGCCAAGCCAGCATAACTAGACCTTGCATTAGGAATAGCTGACAGCGGTCAGCTTGAGAACACATGCAGCTCTGCCATGATGGCAAAATAGTATGCTGTTGTTGGCACTACTCACTGGCTACAACCAGTGCTGCTGAAGCACATTTGTTCTAAATAAACTCAATGTTTTCCAGTGTTGCTAATCTGTATTAAAAAAAAAACTTTTGTTCTAATGAAAAAGCAATGGTGACTGAAGATCCATCGATGCCTGTGTTGCTGCAGAAACTATCATACAAACAAACACAGGGAAGCTCTTGTATGTGTAAGAATGTGTCAATCACATTCACAGAAGATGGCTATTTTGTCCATCAATCCAATGTGTCCTACTTGTTCTATCATCACAGCCTGACATTTACAAAGACATTGGAGATTTACTTTAGCAAAGCAGTCAGTATTGTACTTTGTGCAGACATACTAGACGCATAAGAGTCTCAAAAGATTTGTCTCAAATGCATAACATCTTCCACTTCTGAACCAACTTGAAAATACTTATAATTTACAATCACCTGACTTGCTAACAAGAACATAGTGCAAAGTCAGTGACTTAATTAGTCAAGAACGAGAAAGTCAACTGACCCTCACACCCTAGTTACATTAGGCATGAATTGACTCCAAAGCAGTAATTGCCCACGCTACAGAAACATGACATTTCTGAAATAATACTTAAAACTTGGATCAAAGTGGAAGAGTTCCAAAGGGAAAGGGATGGCAGTTGGAATTATCCCTGGTAACTCCTTGTGCAGCAAACCTATATGGGAGGAGAGGGGAGTGTTACCTGTGTAATATGGAGCTGTGGTTTCTGGGCAGCCACTGCTGGGTGGGAAGGTAATGTAATTCGAGCTGTTGTATCCCTAGGTTGCTGAGTGCGCTGGATGCTAATTGTAGCAGCAGACGGGTGAGGTTGGATGGTCAGTGCTGGTCGACTGCAAAGGATAGAGGGAGGAAAGTAACAAAATCAGACAAGAGATCGTTATTTGAATATCTACTGACAGATAAGGATGTTTGGAGCACAGGAGCAGGAGGTAGTGATTCAGCCCCTCAAGGCTGTTCCACCATTTTATTCGATTGCAGCTGATCTGTATCTGAACTTCACTTACACCAACTTGGTTATGTAACCCTTAACAAACAAAAACCAGTTTAGTTTTGACATCTTCACCTGACTCCAAGCCCAACACATTTTTGTTAAACTGAAGATATTATTTCTGCATTTTGTGAAGGTGCTTTTCTTGACAACATCCCTGAACAACCTAGCTCTAATTTTAAGGTTATGCCTCTTGCTCAGATTTGCACTGTTGTGACGATGCTGTAAGAGTTTATTTTGTCCTATTATCTTTTGGACAGAGGTTGTAAGGCAGAGATTCAGAACTGATTACTGAAGACCTCTTGAGTAACAGCTTGGGGGACCATGAGATTTTTTTTTAAAACAGCCTGAATGGGTGTGGCCTGCTCTCTCAGATCCAGATTTCTGGGTTTTTTTTCAGTAGCATAAGAAGCCTTTGGGGCCCCAAAAGAGTTGGAAGCTTCAGTGAATGTCTCCTAGTTGCTACTTTCTCTGAATTTTCTTTTCATGTTTTTTCCTCCTGGATTGGAGAACTGCATGTGAGAATCTGTGTCTGAATTTTCCTTTTTGCCAAGGGGTGTGTTTAATGGATGTTACTATATTGGAACAGTTAGTTAGTTTATAGTTACTGTATCTATTATTCAGTTAGGTTTTCTAGTAGTTAAGTTATTCTAAATTCTTCATTCTTTTAGTTATATATTTTAATTATAGTGTTTAAATAAATTGTGCTTTGCTTATGTCAAGTAGTTTGACCAGTCGCATTGCATCTGGAACACAGCACTTCACATTTACCTTTAAAAGAAAAAACAGTTGGGGTCCTGGCCATCTTAAAATATTTTGAGGGGGTCTGGTCTGATCCATAACACTATCTACCCTAACTCCTTCTAAATTAATTCAAGCACCTCAATTAGGTCATCCCTCCATCTCCTATATTCAAGGGTACGCAGGTCAGTCCATGCTACAGAAACAAATTTAACTCTTTCAGCCTCAGTACCTTTGTAGTCAATGTGTTGCAATCCCACCAATGCCAAACATCCTTCCTGAAGTCCAACAGCCAGAATAGAGCACATGCTTTAAGTAGGGTCTAAGCAGAGATTTATTTGGCGGTAATTCTGGTTTATACTGTAACTGTGCAATAAAAGTTGCCCAACACATTATAATCAATGTCCAATGATAATCGTTGCTTAAAGGTATGGCAGTTAAACACCTCAGATATAGACAGAAGTTGTCTACAAAGCTCCCCATTCAGAATCAGGTGAGGTTTGTACATTTTATAATAATTGAAAGTATTGCAAGAAGGTTTCTCCACTAAATTCAACAGTGATAATAATGTCAGGCTTTATTCAAACAGATGCTTTAAACAGCATTTTTCAGAATGACATTGCAATATTCAACTCTTGCGGCGTATTGGTAGGTCCCATACCCCTGGACCAGGAGGCCAGGGTTCAAGTCTCACCTGCTCTAGAGGTGTGAAATAGCATCTGAACGGGTTGATTAGAAAAACAGATACAATATTCAGCATTATAAATATACAGACCTAAGGGTCAATTTTCACTGACTCCACCTCTAAGACAGCCAGAGTTGTTCATAACTCTAAACAATTGATGGCAGCCCAAGAGATGGACCAAGTCTGAAGCAGTGTTGCCAGATTTACTTCTCTTGTGGGGCTCTCAAACCTTTGAACAGACTCCAACATCAATAGCTGTCACCTTTTGGAGACAAGACAGCATTTCAAACAGCTGAATTCCAGTATTTTTTAAAGAAATATAAGCACTAACATATTAATTGCTACATATTACATGGGCAATACACTGGCTGCGAAGAACAGGAACCTTAAAAGATATGAAGAGCATTATACAAGCCTAAACTTTTGCCATGCAGAGCTGTTACATAAGAAACCTTTCCTTGGCTCTCCAATTTCCTGAAATTAATTACCTGTGTGCCACATCTGTCCCATGAGCTGCTGCTGTTGTAATGACCGGAGACTGGGCTCGTGTTGCAGATACGGTTGCTACCACTGCTGGAGGGATTGCTGTAGAGGTGGTCGAAGGAGGGCGAGACTGCAAAACAAAAAATAAAATTAACACACTTTAACAGTGAGGCAATGCCGCAGCATGTCAAACAGCACAAGCTGATACGCTGGAGGCTAATTAATCATAGAATCATACAGCAGAGGCCAGTTAGACCCATCATGTCCATGCTGGCATTTTGATAGACTGATCCATTTAGTGCCACTCCCCAGCTTTCCCCACAGGTCTGAAAGTTTTCCTTTACAAAGATATGAACAGCTCTCTTTTGAGAGAGACCATTGAACCTGCTTCCACCACCCTTTTAGACATTGCTTTCCAGATCTCAAAATCTACTGAAGGCAAGTAATCTTTCAGTTTGATAGAACAGGAGCTACTGAGGCGACAGATTCCTCAATCTACACAATGCAGCACGGCATTAGACACATTCAGTGCTCTTCATCAACCTCTAAACAAGGTTGGAGCAATGCAGGATGAAGATCATCTCATCTCAGATTGCACTAGTGGACTGGTTGGAAACTAGAACCCACAAGGTAGAAGAGGAGGATTGGTGAGACACAGAAAGTCAATGGATAGAACAAACCTGGGTGAAGATTTTATTTGGGGTAGTCCAGTAAATTTCAAGGTCTTGCCAACTCCAACAACTGGACCACAAAATACCAGTCAAATTCAGAACAGACAATGCGAGGAGTCATGTGGAACTTGATGTTGGAGGATATGGATGCAAATGGTTTGAAGGTTATGTGGAACAGAGTTGGGAACCCAAGGAAAGAAAGCACTACACGAATCCACTTTGCATCTGATGAAGGCATAAGGTGTAGAGAAGGATTCACAGCAGCGGATGTGATGAGATGGACCCAAACAGGAGGTAAAAGACCACTGGGCAGAAAACCCAAGATCAGGAATGATCAACCAGGGAGGTTAAGGGAGTCCAGTGCGCTAACAGTCTACGGAGGTGATTTCAGTCTTGCTAAGAGTTGAGAATTTCACCTCATCCAGACCCTTCTTTTAGCAGTCTGTTGAATGTAGAGTCTTTTATCTTTAACGACATGACACTCATTCTGACAGATCTCAATAGAATTGCAACTCCATCACGATAAAAGGTTTTAATTTAAAAAATGCTCAATATTTATAAATTAAGTGCCTACCTGTATAGGTAGGTGCAGAGAATGCTGCACAGCAGTCTGAGGATTTCCAGCTGTTGGTAACGGTGCTGGAGCAGGGCGCAAGACTGTAGTTACTTTGGAACTTGATATTGCTGCTGCTACTGCTGCACCTATGAATGAAAACATGTAATTTTCAAAAATGGCCTCTGAGAAGCATCCAAAGGGGACTCACCAGCCAGGAATTCTCATATTGACCAGAATTACTTGAGTGCAGAGAAGTCATAGAAACATGTGAAATGATTGACCAGCTAATCTGAAATGGAGGGTTACCGATATATCAAGACCCCAGGAATGTAAAGTGACCATTTACAATTGTTTTTCAAGTCACTAAAATACCAGTGCAGGCAGATGGATCTCAAGTTGAAACTCTTTCAAGGAGGACTCATGTGGCATGCAACACTCTCCTCAATACTTCATTAAAGTGTCAACATAGTTTATGCACCCATGTGTGAAGCAAGGCTTGCATTCACAGACTCCAGACCTTGGGGACAGTGCCACCAAGACAGCCACCTGATAAATATGATTAGTCTTTAAACCGCGTTATAAAACAGGCAGATTGCTTAACAGGCTGTATCGAGGACAGTTTCAACCTGTGGGCCTAAACACAATGGAAAGCGAATAGGTTTGCAATTTTATTTACATGATGGAACAATATGATGGAAGTTACCTCATCTGTATAATTTATAAAACATCCTGAGCCCAAAGAGAAACACAAAGGAAGGAGTGTGCATTAATCATTGTCGTACACCCAGTTGATCACTGAGCAATGCAACAGTTCATCTTTTAACCTAATTAAAAAACCATAAAACGAATCCATGAAGTTAGATGCAACAATCTATTACTCTTATTTTATTTCCACACACAAAAGTGTACAGAAATACATACACTGACAGTCTAGACCTAATGCATTACCTCTGGGCACATGCGATGAGAACATCTGTGGCTGTGCTGTGGACGGTCCAATATGGAGCGAAGCTGGAACAGAGTTTCGGATGATTGACATTTGCACGTTGGTACCCATCAGATGAGGGATGTTGGGATGACCCTAGTAATGAAACGATCCAGCATCAAGTCAGCAATGGAAATGACAACTGCAGGATAGAATGGTTTGCTCTTGTTTAAACAGCAAGGGCACACTTATGAATTGCCGTTTTAGGAGACCGGTGCTCTTACCTGCTGCCCACTGATTGTAGCCACAGGGATTGCAGAGGCCTGTGCTACACTTGCGTCCATGCTAACAGGCACATGTCCTGATACCTTCGGAGGAACAGCCAAGTGTCCGAGGCCAGATGATGGAGCTGGAGCAATGGGCCGACTGGGCAAGGGGGGCTTCAGGGTGGTCTATGAAGACAAAGTTACATTCTCACTTTATGGCAGATAAGCAAAAAAATGGCAATACTGGAGCTGGAAAAGGCAGCAAGAATTCAACTAGTTTCGAATTTTCACAAGCATTTCGGAGCAATACATAATATCATGGGTGCAGTACCTCAAAATACTAAGAACCTCAGCGGTGTTAACAGTAATTCTGTGGATCTTCAAAAAAGTCAAACAGAAGGCTGATAAACGTCACCTGCAATGTGACAGATAGGCCAACAGAATGGGCAGGCAAAGGGGAAATGGAATTTCACACAGAGCAGTCCGCAGTGACACATTTTAGCAGAAGGGATGCGAGGAGGCAATATTAACTTAATTTTACAGCTTTAAATTGTGTGTAGGAATAGAAGGAGCTGGAGGTTCATATCCATCAATCTTTGAAGGTGGCAGGACACAGCTGAGGTTACAATGAAGGACCCTCCTTCTCAACCTCTTCCCTCATCTGAGACCTTCAGCTTAAACCACTATCGGTTGTCTCTCAAATGAGACACCAACCCTATGGTCAGCTAAGACTATGGCAACTTTACCGTACCCTTTTTAACTGAATATAACAGAGCCTTCACAATGAACCTTTGTTTAAAAAAAAAAAGCTCTGATTAAGCCCAACTAAAGACAGTACACAGTCCTGGTCACCATCCTTTAGGATATAAGAGCTGTTGACAAAACACAGAACAGATTTACCAGAATATCCTGCAACGTTGAGGGATATTCATTATAAGGTTAGGGTGGAAAAACTGGACTCCTCTCCTTAAAGGAAAAGATGTTGTCAGGAGATTTGATGGAAGTACACGAGGTTATAGCAGGTTTAAGTAAGATAGAAAAGGAAAAATTCTTCCTATTAGCTGACTGCGCATGGACCAAGGGAGACATATTTAAGGTCTTGGGCAACAGCTGTAGGAATCTGTGGAGCAAGCTTTCAAAAAAAAACAATTGGAGTGAGGGTTAACGACCTGGAAATTTCAAGCCCAGGAGAGTGTAAGCAGAGACAATGAATAATTTCAAAAGGGTACTGGAAGAAGCTAAACCTGCAGGGCAATGGGGATCGAGCAGGGGTGCGGGATTGATTTGATTTCCTTGCAGAGAGCCTGTGTGGATTCAATGGACTGAACAGCCTTCTCCTGTGTTATTTAATAAATAGCCTCAACTCAATGCTGTTGGCATCCAGTGGGTACTTGACGCGGAAGAATCAGAGCTGGTCAGGCCAGCATAATGTTATAAACACATAAACAGCAATTGCTGGAAAATCTCAGGTCTGGTGAGAGAAAACACAATGTTTTGGGTCCAGTTACCCTTCTTCAGAACCTTTGAGGTTTTCATTCTGCTTTCTCTCCACAGATGCTGCCAGATCTGTGGAGCTTTTCCAGCAATTTCTGTTCTTGTTTCTCATTTCCAGCATCAGCATTTTTTGGATTTTTACTTTGCATTACTTTATAGGTGTTAATTCAATTCCCTCACACTATCAGGATCATTACAGCATCTCTAGCACCCCAGTCCAAAGCAAAAATATTAACCGGGGTAGGGGAGGGTCTTAGCTGACAAAATGTTGAACTGAAAATTATGATCTTGCTCAATAAAACTGCCAGGGGTGTGACAATGGTCTACAATTGTATTCAACGCAATAGCACTGGATAGCATTGGGTGATGGAACCAAGGCTCCCACTCATCACAAACAAACACTTACTGCATGGCGATTCATATTGTTGATGCCAGATGAAGACAGAATGAGAACTGGCAGCAAATTCCACCATGACACCCAGGACATTCCTAGGCAAGAGAAAAGGTCACAGAAGAAGGTAGGGAGGTGGTACCGAAGGAAGCCTCCAGGAAAGAGACGTTGGATTGTAAGAGCCAATATCAGATATAAAACCATGTGGCTAATCAGCTCAAGAATTTGAATTGGAAAGGTAGAATGCTGCATGCAATGTGCACAGCCCTGGATTTTCAGAGGATGGTGAACTATCCAGCTGGGCTGAACTTTTGGCACAGGGGCCATTGAAACATAACAAGTCTACTGGGAGAGAGACCTGCTGCAACAGCTCCCCTAGGGCTGGCAGGCAGGAAGGAAGAAATCACGGACCTGCCTGCAAAATAGTTTCATCTCAATTTAACCGGTAGGTGAGCATAACCAGCCACTCTGGACCCAGGACAGGCCCCTTAAGTACCCTTCCTTCAAGAGGCCCTTCACAGTTGAACAGAATGGTGAACACAGCTACAAACAAACATCAACACCTAACCAGTGTAAACAGAAGGTAACAAAACCAGAGACTGGGTTTGAATTTGCACGTGCTTGCCCCAGATACATGTGGGTGTAATTTGGGCAACTAGTCAGCCCCATCAGGTTTGAAAGGAACACAATGACGACAAGCAAGACTGTACTTGCATCCAACAGAAGTTTAAAATGCTAGAATGATCTCACTCTCTCTCTCTCTCTCCCCACCCCAGAAGTGTGGATTAAACCAGCAGTACAATCCAAATTGCAAACCTTTGCTGCTCAAACACACTCAACCATACTGAGTACCTCTCACGACAGAACACATTAGAAGCACATCAAATGTCATTTACTATGCAGCAATGAAATGTCACATTTTTGGGAAGGGTTCTATATGCTTACTGCTAAAAACTAAAATAAGGTCACATAACTAAAAGAAGGTCACACAACTTATTGAAGCACACAGATGAGACTCAAAAATACAAGCTTCATGATGATGCTGTCAGGCACTAAGCAGACCTGTGCCTCAGTGAACCAATGCCTTAATGAAATCCTCTACCAGAATCATTTAACTCACAAAGCTGGCATATTTCAACAAGCTCCGTGCCCTACCGATCTTACATTTTATTCAAGCACGTACTTGGAAAATAAATGTATTAAACATCAAAGATGGCATAAATCAGACTTTAAAATGTGTCTCTAGTACAAAGGGTCATTATTTGTCAACTGTTAACTTAAAAAAATACACTAATCAGGAATCATTCCTCTAGAAAAAAACGTATCAAATGCAATTGCCATATTCTTTGACTCACTACAAGTAACATCCCAGGAGACACATGAATCATTATGAAATAATTGAACCCATCTGACAGATGCAGCACTGAAGGAATAGCGATTTGACTTCACTCAGGATAATTAGCCAGCTTGATACTCATTCTTGAAAATCAAAGGACTGGAAAGAGCCACATGCAGCATACCAACCTCTGTGAAACACCAGCTCCAAGGAGGTTTGTAATTACTTGCAGCAATGGTGCTCAGCTTTGTGGTGCCGTGATGTAAATGAACATGGTGCCAACTGCCAGTTCTGAGGAAACGTCACTCGATCCGAAATGTTAATTCTGATTTCTCATCACAGGTGCTGTCAGACCTGCTGAGCTTTTCCAGCAATTTCTGTTTTTGTTTGTGGTGCCAACTGCTTGGCTTTGGAGCAGTCCTGACTCATAGCCAGTCTGTTACAATGAGAAGTGGCCACACAGCCTCTCTCAAGTGGTCCACCAATTAGTTCAGGGCTGATCTGTACCTCAACTCCATTTACCTCCAACAACATCTTTACAAAACAAAAATCTACTGATCGAAGTACGGAATGCTCCAATTGACCCCAGCATTTTCAGCTTTACCCTAACAGTTATAGATTTCCTTTAAGACAAAACAAAGAACTGTGGATGCTGGAAATCTGAAACCAAAACTGAAATTGCTGAGAAACTCAGCAGGTCTGGCAGCACCTATGGATAGAGAAAGCAAAGTTACGGTTTCAAGTTCAGTTCTTTCAGACTCACTGGAGCCAAAATTCGGATTTCCACTATCCGGAGAGAGAAATTGTTTCCAGGTTTCAATTTTAATGGCCTGGCTCTAATTTTAAGATGATGCCACCTTGTTTTTGACCTGCCCCCAAACCCATTTCTTTGCACCTACCACTCTGAATCCCTTTCATTGTTTTGAAGCACATCAATTGGATCATGCTTTGCTGGTCAAAACACAAATGAGAAAAAGCAGGACTAACTAACTTGCAGTTACGCTAGTCCCCCATCAGAAAGGGCAGGTAAAACTACAATAAAAAATTATATATACAAGTATGCATAAAGCAGTGCGCAGGTCACACCCCAAAACAGCATATAGCCACTCAAAAACAAAACCGCTCGGGATGCACTGATACCATAATTGAAACACTAGCAATAAACAGGAACACGATTAACCCCATTTCCAATTTATACCTAGAGAGGTTCTGTGAATGATTTTTAAAAGAAGACTGCATACCTTCATTAGCCCTTCTGGGAAGGAGAGCTGGGTGGCCTGTGCTAGGTGTGTGGGAGGAGCACCCAGAGTTACAGGCACCCCAGACTGAGGCAGATGGTGCTGTGCGGCTGGTAGCGACTGTGCATGAGTCTGCACCTGTGGGTAAGGCCGAACCACGACAGTCTCCTGTTTCTCATCTCGGAACGGAAGTGAAGGGATTGGATTAGAATGCTCACGGGGCAAGTGTTCCACATCCCGATTCAGCTCATCGCTGGGGGCTGGAAGCAAACAGAAAATAATGATTAATCCATACATCATAGGACTGGAAACAGCCACATGTTGCCAACATACGAACCAATAAATGCTAAAACTCCACGATACTTTGTAAATATTTGCAGTGTTCAGTCTGCTGGTGCTGCAATTTGAAGATAATATGGTCGAAAGGGCATGACTTGGGAGCTATCCTAAGCCACAGTGTGTCAGTATTTCTTTAAAGTTTCTTTCAGGGAATGTAAGTTTGTTGGCAAGGCCAGCATTTGTTGCCTATTCCTCATTGCCTTTGACTATCCTCTGCTCTCCTCAGTTCAAGAATCAACCACACTGTGTGCATCTGGAATCATAGGCAGGCCAGACTGGGTTCAGAAGATAGATTTCCCTGCCTAAAGAATATTAATAAACTAGATGGATTTTCACAATGACTGAAGATAGTTGTCAGTAAGATGATGGCCCAGTGGTATTTTTGTTGGACAGGTTACATCTGGGGTTGTGTTAGTTTTCAAGTGTAAAAATGGAAAATAACTTAGGAGGCTCTGGTTTAGATGAAAAAAAACAAACATCCTCCATCGAACCAACCACTCTGATATTGTCAGCTGTTTCAGCTTAATTACCAACAGAAAAAAGTCATGTTTACAGTATCCTTCACAATGTCCCAGGGTCACTTTTAGTGAAGTGCAGTTCACATTAAAAAAATGTAGGGAATGTGGCAGCTAACTTGCACACACACAGCTCCCACAACCAGCAACGCGAATATGAACTGATAATCCACCTTAGTCCTGTCTGTTGAGGAAATACACTTACTACGACAAAGCTTCGTCTAGTGAACAATGAGCTCATTTAAAACCTTAGTTTTTTAAGAATATTATTTCTGCAGTAACTCCAAGTGCCAAGCTTTATAAAGAAAACAAAATACTAATTATTTATATATTCTTTATCTCACTTCCAGCAGATTCAAATAGATTCTCACTATCCCCAACCAGGCAGCTCCATTTCTGAGATTCTCCAAATGTAAATGGCAGTAGGCTATTGATTAATCCATGCCAAACGATGCCTGCTGCAGCCAGGAATGAAGCTTGTGGTGACGCAAACTCTGCAACTGCAGTTCAGTTCTGGGTAATCTGTCAAGTTCTCATCCATTCTTTCCCACTACAGAAACTCTTATTAGTCGGTGGACGGTCAACATACAGAAATACCTCAGCTGAAAGAATGCACATGAACAAAGCTTCTTTTTCTATCCTCAGAACAACTTAACACACTTGACAGACAAAAAGTCATATTATAAAAGTGTACTCATTTATACAGGGAGCCAATTTGCACAGAGAAAAATCTTAATTTGTTTATTTTTAATGTCATTTAGGGGGTGAACTTTGGACACGAAACAGATCTCCGTGCACGGAGAAGATGCCATACAATTCTCTTGCATTAACCCAAATATAACAGTTGTCACATCTTGTATGCAAAGCACCCCCTCTGGCAATGCAGCAACTGCTCGTTACCGCACCAAAATATCAATCTGTATGATCTGTTCAAATTCTGAAGTGGTCTTAAGCTCAAAGCCAGAGGACAGAATGTCATAACAAAGCAGAAACCAAAAGCATAAAACAAAAATGTAAGGGTATGAGAGTAAATCAGAGTGGACCAGCCTGTACAGGGGTGGCATGTTCCACTTCCTGAAATTTATTGGCCTACCATAATGCAAATGTATATACAGCATAGAAACAGGGCCTTCAGCCCACCATGTCTGTGCTAACTAAAAAACAGCAAACTACACTCAGAGATAGTAAGAATTGCTGATGCTGGAGTCAGAGGTAACACATTGTGGAGCTGGAGGAACACAGCAGGCCAGGCAGCATCAGAGGAGCAGGAAAGTTGACGTTTCGGGTCGGGACCCTGCACTCATCCCATTTACCATTTATCTGTAAATGGAATCTATAACTACAATGTCCCAGCATTGAGTGCTCATCCAGATGTTTCTTAAATGTTAGCAGAGTACCAGCCTCCACCACTCTCTCAAGCATTGCATTCCACATTTCTGCCACCCACTGGTGAGGCAATAGCCTGTGGTATTATCACTGGACTGTTAATCCAGAGACCCAGGTAATGTTCCCGACACCCAGGTTTCAATCCTGCCATGGCAGATGGTGGAATTTGAAATCAATTAAAAAGAACCTGGAATAAGAGTCTAATGATGAACGTGAATCCACTGTTGATCATCAGAAAAACCTGATTCTCTAATGCTGAGAGAAGGAAACTGCCATCCTTACTTGGTCTGGCCTACATATAACTCCAAACTCACAGCAATGTGGTTGATTCTTCACTGCCCCCTGGTCAATTAGGGATGGGAAATAAATGCTAGCCCAGCCAGCAATGCCCTCATCCGAAAATGAATAAAAACCATATCTTTTCTTAGAGTGAACCAGCTGGAGTGATATGTCAGATAACCCTATTTGTTGAATTCATTTTCACAACCTACCATGGTGGCTCATCCCAGGGTCATAAACAAGTCCTCTAATCTAGCATCCATTATTCAGATCTACATCACGTACCTGTAGCTTCATAAATTGCTTACCAAGGTGGGAATAAAAGAATCCTCACTGATCCACATTGGCCTCCAGTCTGGCAACGACCCGTTTTTGCTCTGGAATGTTTCATTGTTTCAATGCACTATGTAAGTGCAAGTTGATTTAAATAATGATTTCGACTCATCCACCATGATCCATATATGTTGAAGGAAACCTCTAGAATAACCACCCACTCCCTTGGTTTAGCACTGCTGCCTCACAGCGCCAGGGACCCGGGTTCAATTCTACCCTCAGGTGACTGTCTGCGTGGAGTTTGCACATGCTCCCATGTCTGCGTGGGTTTCCTCCGGGTGCTCCGGTTTCCTCCCACAGTCGAAAGATGTGCAGGTCAGGTGGATTGGCCATGCTAAATTGCCCATGGTGTTCAGGGATGTGTAGATTAGGTGGGTTGTAGGGGGATGGGTCTGGTGGGATGCTCTGAGGGTCTGTGTGGACTTGTTGGGCCAAAGAGCCTGTTTCCACGCTATGGGGATTCTATGAATGAGTCAAAGATGTACTCATTCTGTAATCCAGAAACCCAGCTAATGTTCGGGATCTGGGTTCAATCCTACCAGGGCAGATGGTAGAATTAATTCCAGGATTTCATGGAGTTCAAAAAGTCTAACAATGACCAGGAAACCATTTTTGGTTGTCATAAAAACTCAGACGAGTCACTAATTATCTTTAGGAATGAGAAATGCCAACGTTACCTAGTCTGGCCTACATAAGACACCTCTCAACTACCCTCTGAAACAGCCTAACAGGGCATTCAAATTCAAGGCTAACGAGGGATGGGCAACCAATACCAACACGTTATGTGAATGAACTGCATGGGTTTTTATGACAATGATAGTTTTAGTCACCAATACTGGGATTAATTGAATTACTTGAATTCAAATTCTACTAGCTGCTGAGATGAGATCTGAGCCAGTGCTCCCAGGATATCGGTCTGAGCTATTAGATTACTCACCCAGTGACATGACCATCTCCCCTTAACACACAACTTATGCACAGAACAGTTAAGGTTTTAGGTTGAGGATTGGGCAAGGACTTAGCATGTGGCTCAAAACACAAGCAAGTCACCCTTTCCTATTTCAGACACTGATAGGCCTTGCAATTGTCAACTTAAGGCTGAAACCGCAAAAATTAGCTACAAGTCTACACATAGATTTATAATTTCATCCATATTCTTCCTTTGAGGAATTTTCAGGCACAAAATGGCTGCCAAATTGACACATTCAACTGTAGCATTTCAAAAGATGTTATTGCAGATGAAGAGCTTTGGGATGTCAGAGTGCCTCCTTAATGCTCGCCTGTCAAGCCCTTCATTACAAATTCAATTAATTTACAAAGATATCGATGAGATAGCTTGCCACTTGCCTGTTACAGTGTTACTGCCTGATGCCCCTGGACCACTGCTGTTCTGCATGCTGGTGATGGAAGACTGGCCTGCTCCCAGGCCTGATGCAGGTGCACCAGGTCGTGGAAACTGTTGAGTGCTCATTGGAGCCTGGAACAAAACAGTAAAGGAGCAATTAGACAAAACCATTGGGTGGTAAAAGTAGGAAACTATTTTGTGGCTTTTTTCCCCCATTGATACAAACAAGGAGCAAGAGCAGGCCATTCAGTCCCTAAAACCTGCTATGCTATTCATTAATATGATGGCTCAGCTTATTGCAACCACAAATTCACATTCCTGTCCACTATTAACAACCTTTTACCCCATCACTTAAAAATCCATCCATCCCAACCTTAAAAATATTTAAGCACTCTACTGCAACCACCTTTTCATGAAGAGAGTTCCAAAGACACTCCAACTTGGAAAAAAATTCACCTCATTATTTTAAGTGGGCAATTCTGATTTTTAAATAGTAACCTTAGTTCTAAATACTCCCAGTGAAACATTATCTCCATATCTAGCCTGTCAAGACCTCCTCAGGATCGCCTATGTTTCAAAGATGTCACCTCAATCTTCTAAATACATACAAACCTTGGCTGTCCATCCTTTCTTCATTGCAGATTGTATCCATTCCAAGTGTTAGTCTAGTAAACCTTCTCTGAATTGCTTCCAATACATTTGTATCATTCCTTAAATAAGATGTGGTCTCACTAGTGCTCTGAATAACTGGTATAGGGCAGCACAGTGGCTCAGTGGTTAGCACTGCTGCCTCACAGCACCGGGGGACCTGGGCTCAACTCCACCCCCCGGCATCGATCTGTGTGGAGTTTGCACATTCTCCCCATGTCTGCTTGGGTTTACTCCGGGTGCTCTGGTTTCCTCCCGGCATCCAAAGATGTGCAGCTTAGGTGGATTGGCCACGCTAAATTGTCCATATTGGGGAGGGGTTATGGGGATAGGGTGGGGGGGAGGAGAATGTTCTTTGGAGGGTCGGTGTAGACTTGATGGGCCGAATGACCTCTTTCAACACTGTAGAGTTTCTATGATTTTATGAACTGAAGTATAACCATCCTACTTTTTAAAACAAAAACAGAAATTACCAGTGAAACTCAGCAGGTACGGCAGCATCTGGGGGACAAAGCAGAGTTAACATCTCGGGTCCAGTGACAGCACAGCTTACCCATTCTGTCCTATGCTCAACTCACTTATTCAGCTTCTCTTCTGTCCTGGCCTATCAATAATCCCCTTATCTGCCTATCCTTTTCATATATCTCTTTCTCTACCTATCCGAGCTCCCCCCATACCACAACCATGTCTTCAGGCAAGAAAGTGGCAGATGGGATTCAACTCTGGTAAATGGGAAGTAATGCATTTATGATACTCAAACAGTAAAAGGGAATACACAATACATGAGAGGGGTAGATGAAGTGAGAGATCATGCTAATCATGCTAATCAGTTCTGATGAAGCTGGACCCGAAACTAACTCTGCTTTCTCCCCATAGATGCTGCCAGACCCACTGAGTTTTGCCAGCAACTTCTGTTTTTGTTCTACATCTCCAGCATGTGCAATGTTGTTTTATTCGCCTTACTTTTGCATTCTACCTCACTTGCAATGAATGATAACGTTCAAATAGCTTTCTAATTACTTGCTGTACCTACAAAATAGCCTTTTATTATTCATGCATGAGGACACGCAAATCCCTCTCTATCCTCCCACCATTAAATAATGTTTTCTTTTTAAAGTAAATTCTCCCTGCCAAAACAGACAATGTTACAATTTGATTAAGGATGGTAATAAACAAATTACAAAGGACCACCAAATGGCATATTTGCATAAAATTCATGAGCTCAGTAAGCAGTAAGTTACATCAGTCTCATTGACAGAACAAAAAAATTCTGCAAATGCCTCTCTTTTTTTTGTCCATGGGGCACAATTTTCAAGCAGCATGCATAGGCACCATGATCTGAAGAGCTGCAATCCATTATTGGCAATTTGGATTTAAACGTGGGGAGCACAATTGGGCAATCTGCACACAATACAAAAATTGGCCATGTAGTGGACAGTGTAGACAATAGCTGCAAGCTCCAAAATGATATGAGATGTGTTGTTGGAGTGGGCAAGAAAGTGGCAGATGGAATTCAACTCTGGTAAATGGGAAGTAATGCATTTATGATACTCAAACAGTAAAAGGGAATACACAATACATGAGAGGGGTAGATGAAGTGAGAGATCTTGGCTTGCAAGTTCACAGGTCCCTAAATGTAACAATAAGGGTAAATAAGATCATAAAGAAGGCAGATGAAATGTTCTCCTTCATTGGTAGGGGTATAGAATACAAAAGTAGGGTTATATTAAACTGTAAAAGGCACTGGTAAGGCTACAACTGGAGTATTGTGTGCAGTTCTGGTCACCACATTACAGGAAGGAGGTAATTGCTCTGGAGAGAGTGCAGAGATGATTTACGAGACTGTCACCAGGGCTGGAGAACTGTAGTCACAGGAGAGATTGGAGAGGTCGGGATTATTTTCCTTGGAATAGAGGGGTGATAGGATTGAGACATACAAACTGTGACAGGTAGAAATAGAGTAAATAGGAGGACCCTGTTCCCCTTGGCAGAGAGTTCAAAAAACAGTGGTCATAGATTCTAGCAAAGTGAC